CGATCCGCACGGCTAACGTGTGATTTCTCACTGAAACACTCCGCCTTCGCGAGTGGAGATGCTATCTCGCGGCGAAAGTCGAAATATTTCATGAGATAACCGGAGTGGATTTCACGACTCGACGATAAAATAGACACTAGAGGCGAGCCGCGTAAACGCGATAACAGGACGCGAGGAATAATGAATACTTCATGTGAAAATTTAAATGAGAAACCGCCCGGGCGATCAGGTTGCGTCTGCGCGGCTTCTTCCTACTGATGCTGCTGCCGCGCGAGAATACGAAGCGACCGTTCGCCGCTCGCTATTGGTTGATCTTTATGTCTCCGGCGAGGAGACGCCGGCCGATTGCTCGATACGCCACGGCGTTTAATAAATGAAAGCCCACGCACGAACACAGAGACCCGTCTTTATCTTTATTTCAGATGAAGTCGCTCTGTGTGCTTTTTCTCGAGCTGCCCTCGGGCCCACGAAGGGAGCCGCGTGTTCGTATCGTGCTCTCCCTTACACGAGACACCGACACCTTTTCACGGTCGTTGGCGGACCTTGCTCTCGTGGGGCGTCTTCCACGGCAGCGCCGTCGTTGGTTAGCTGCATTATTAAATACGGTCAGACGCTGCGAGTGTTAACCGACGTATAACGAAGTAGTAGCGAGACATAGGCGGCGGGAGTCGCGAACAAAGTCGCTGAATATTCAGTCGCGCAACGAGCGTCTGAACACTATTTCAGTGCCGTCTACAGACGGTTTGTTCCACGACTATAAGTTCCCAGTTAGAAACTTCGCCGGCAGAGCATAAAACCAATTTATACTTCAACGCGAAGTCCACGAAGAAATGGTTTAAGCGCGCCCTCCTCGCGCCCGTTGCCGCGAAATCTCGTCCGCTGAAGCAGTCATATCGATTCTTTAAACGCTCCGCGACGTTGCTCGCGTTAGGGCCGCATTTCCCGCATCGTAGAGATTCGACGCGGTACTTTCGGTGGAATTCGCGGAAAAACTATGATTCGCGCCGCCTGAAACCGCAAGGACGGCATTCGTGAAACAGAGAACGGGGAAGGGTAGGTGCAAGACGAGGTGACGGTCGCGCGAGGTTGAGAATGAAGACCACGCAGAAAATAATTATCCCGAATAATCACCGTGTCTCTGATCTCACGCGGCGGTAAAAACTCGTTAAGAGTCGCGCTCCGAACCGGCCAACCGCGTTCTTCCGACGCCTCGGCTACAGCAGGTCGTTAACCTGACACGTAAGTGGCGTTTTTCGTTCTATAAGGCAGTAATTAAAAATTCTTGTGTAGTTCGAAAGTGGATTCATACGGAAGTTCGGCGCGCTGGCGGCTAAAGTTCCCCGCGCTCGCTGGCGTATCCCGCCACTGACGGCGACTTCGACACCATCGAACTAAATGATCATTAATTACGAGCCCCGGGTACATTATGCGAATTATTTGAACTCGACGGTCATGTCGCTATTATCAAGTTCCTTAACGGAAGAATGCCGGTATCTCGCTCAATTATAACTTTCCGCGAGACTCTCTTATCAGCGGCGCAGAAAAATTCTGATCCTTCCCCGTCGCTCGATACTTTTATCGTTCGGTAGTCTCGAGACCTTCCGCGGGTGAATTTATCGTAACAGAAGGTGATTTACCCTGAAACGCGAAGCCTTATGAAATTTATAGTTTTTTGTTTCACACACACATACTTCCATATATTTATATCTTCAAAAGTTATCTGTCTACATCTTTTTCTCATCGCAATTCTACATCTATTTCTACACCTTTGTAATTCTATAACTCTTCACAAATTATTCCTATATTTTGTGTTTTCAATTTTGAATAAAGCTTAATATCCTTTTCATGCAAATATATCTCCTGAATAAAATCACGTCTGACAGATCACTTGATTTTATACGTACAATTCCTTGACAACTATCTATTTATGCAGCAAATTCACCCATGCATCTTAGAATCAAATAAATGTTATAATTTCCTTTTTACTTTTTATGATTCCGGCGGTAACGAAAATTACATCTCTCTCACCTCATTATGTCTTGATTGTATCATAATTATATCATGATCATGTCTTGATACGATGTAATTTCATGAGATAAATGTATATATTCGCAGCAATGTTGGCGATGTAGCCAAATTCAACTGTACAATGCAGCATCACTTCGCCACTACTGCTCGTTATCGTATCATCATCGTTCGTAACGAGCTCGTATCGTCATTACGTTCACTGATTCGCGAACCGTAATCCGTTGAATGGTAGATTCTAGATATCCTCCTGATGGAGAGAAAGCTAATAAATAATTGCTCTTCGTTATCTTATCATCACAAGATACGATAAAAGTGATTCCAATCACATAACACATGGCGGAATGACAGACGAGTAGAAAGTGTAGTCGATATCGTCGAACCCTCAGTCTGGAGAACGCACGAATAAATCAAAGTATAGAGTGAAGTAATTGGGATCATCAGGTGTGAAACGACCCTACATCGAAACAAAAACACATATCCGTTAACAGATATAAGTGATAAAATAAATAATTATCATTTTCCGCATTTTTGAAATAATTATTAAACAAACACTTGTATTTTTTAATTATCTCTTGATAGCTATTAACTTTAGATATCGAAGGCGTCGTATTCATCCGACATTTCCTGTCACCTTGCCCGACCTTACCGCGTTTTCGAGAGTAATGTTTTGGCAGGTAAACCATAGGTAAACAACATGACGTCAGTGGGGTCCAAGGTTGAGGGTGACGGCAGGTGCCGGCGAACGAGAAAGAAGAAGAAAGGGAAGGCACGAGGACGCAGGCAGGAGGGAAACCCCCGGGGGTGGCTCGTGCGCGGGCGCGGCTTTGCGGGTCAGAGTGCGTCGGGTATATAACCGGGCGGATGCCGTCGTCCCTTAGTCTCGCGCTTATCGTCGTCGCGACGACCCGCTCGACGCCGGCGTCGTTATCGTTCCGTGACTCGTTTTAATGACTCGGCCGCGCGATGCATACCGATCCGTACGCCGTGACGATCGGCGGAGTGTCCGACATTAGATGATACGAAATCCGGAAGGTGTCTGCCTGAGAATTGTCCGTGGGGATGCGTCGCGCTCCGGTCACCTCCGACGATACTACCGATCAGTGAAGAAGTTACATTTTTACCTCTGCATTTGATTGTCTCTGACGCGAGTCGCATACTGTCACGCGGTAGTCGAGAGAGAAAGGAAGCGAAAAGGGATTAAAGGAATAAAATATCCACAAGATATAGGAAGATCGGTAAGGTAAGAGCGGTACGGGAGCATTATATACTACGAGCGGAGTATTTCGACAAGTTCGTGCGGTAGACGTTATCGAAGATCTTCGGCTGAAGCTCGTCCCGGGTTCTCCCGAGTCTTCTCGTTCCACCCTGAACGTTCACCGGCGGCTACCACTCGAGCGCCAAGAACGGCCTCGATTTATCACTCGAGTGTCATCTCGCCGTGGGCGAGCAACGAGGGAGCCCGCCAGCGAGATCGTCCGGGTGTCGAAAGTTCGATTCTGGGTTAGCAGGAGCAGACCGAAGAAGGAGGAAAAAATTATCGCGATACCCGTCCGGGGAATTGAATTCGCGCGAGGGAGAGGCGGAAGAAGCAGCGGCCAAGTGGTGGCGGCGAAGAGGTGGGAAAGTGGTAGCTGAGGGTTGGCGGTGGCGAAGGTGCGCTGCAACGGAGGATTTCAAGCCGTGCCCCCGGCGAGATACAGGTCGCCTGTATAGATCTATATGCACAGTAAAATTGTGGCGACAGAAGAGCCCCGGCCGCAACGTCGCCGCGTATCTGGGTCACACAGCCGTCCTCTCGGCGTCTCGCGTCCTGTTCTCCACAATTCCGCGAGATTCCCTTGACGCAGCGGAAAAAGTGAAGGCCCATCGGCGAGAGGAGGACTCGGTGTGCTTCGAGAGGCTCACCAATCTGGGATACGATAAGAAGTAACGGGCGTTCTCGTTTCCTTCCGCCGCGGAACAACGTATCCGCCGTGTGACGCTCGCTGCGCAATGTTTCGCGATCGATATGAATGATACGCTGAGCAACACGAACGTAAGATCGAAACGTCGCGGGAGATACACGTTGTCGCGTGTCGCGTAATTGTTCGCGAGAGAAAACTCGGTGGAACGCAGGACGGACGCGCCGCGTGTGAATCGAGACGAGCGAAATGTCGGGTACCTGCAGTGAGACGAAGTCCGCTGCGTTAATGTCGCTTGTACGGGACGATAGATTGAAGAAGCACGAGCTATTATAAGTATTATATCGTGGCTTATCCCCGACGGGAATACGTAATGATCGGCGCGGGTCAGTGATTTGCGGCCGGGCGGAGAGTGCGAATCGAGCGCCGATACCGCTTTGCGGTAACGAGCTGTTACGTCGTTACGCGGTTACGTAAAAAAAGAATCCACCCGGGGATTCCCATGGGGACAATCCCGGCGGAAGGTCCGCGCGCGAGGGCTATTATCCGAGCCGTGGAGTGAGAGGGCCGCTTCCCTTCATCTGGAACACGCCCGCGGCCGGGCTGGTAAATAATGAACTCCCGCGGTCATTTATCAAGCTCACCGCGAGACGAACGAATGTTCGGTGTATCGTCGTCGGGCTAAATGGCAGGATCCAACGCGAAGTACCGACTAGCACGGCTACAAGCGTCGTTTTGCTGGGAACCTCGCGAGAAGATCACGTCCCGTTGACTGCGCCGGAGCTTCGCGGGACGATACACGACATTCACGAGCGACCGTCGTCGTCGTCGTCGACGATAGACACGTGACGACGCGGAATGTCAAGGTTCGAGTGATTCCTCGTCGCTGCGGCGAGTCTTGAGCTTCGCTGAAAAGACGCCAGAATTCAGCGCGCTTCCCGATCGTCACCGGTGACGCGTTCGCCTCAGAGATGCGACAATCGGCTGATCAGTGCGGTAATATCGGGCGCAATCAGCGGCGGCGCAGATAACGGTGCCCGAAGGGACGGTCGCGGCTTCATGCGAGCGAACGCCGCGGACGATCGTGAGAAAAGCTCATACCTCGTACGTGGTGTCGAAGCGAGTGCCAAGCAACGATGAGACGACGGAACAACGGTTCCTCTTGCTTCTGCCAAACGGCCAAGAGGAACGGACGCGCCGGCTGCAACGAAACTGAGGCGAACGAGCCACCCGGATGGTGCATTTACGTAGCGGTCGCGCTCGTCGCGGTCGGTTGCTACCTGAACGCGCTCGACTGCGACTTCGTGCACGACGACATACCGGCGGTGGTGAGGAACCGGGATGTGATCGGTAAGGCGTCGTGGAGCAGCGTGCTCAACGACGATTTCTGGGGCACGCCGATGGAGAGCATCAACAGCCATAAGAGTTATCGACCTTTCACCACCCTGACGTTTCGGTAAGTCCCCTTCCCGTCGTCTACCGACGCGCGTTTTCCTCTCCGCTCGATTAGTCGCGCGAATATCGGACGGGCGATTGACTGACGGTTAATTGGTAGCCAATAGGATTCTGCGATCGCGCATTAAGATCGCGTTAGCCATCTCAGGAAGGCCATGGCTGTCGATATTTGACTCGTCGCCGAATTATCGCGATTTCAAGTTAACAATATATGACCGCTCGAGTGGACGTCCTTCTTTGACGGAGTAATTGGACGTTTCCGCTGTCGCGCCAGTCATTAGCGCGTTTTTATTTCATTTCTTGCTCCCTGTCTCTCTCTCTCTTATTCTCCGTGGATTTTCGTCAAACTGTTCCCCGAGGACAATCCGTAAAACAGAAAAGTGAATACGATTCGGTGCACGGTCGTCCGTCCGGATAAAATAAGACAGCAAGAACTTGTCTCGAGAAACGTGTCTGGTTGCCTGACGTTCCAAACACATGGTACGACCACGTAGCTCGCAGCATCCTTCTCTATATCTCCCCCTCTCACACTCTCCCTTTCACCCCTGTTCTTACCGGGGCATCGCGGCTCCTGTATACATACACGCGTACGTGTGTGTACATACATACGCGAGGCGGTATATAGGTATCCCATGCAGTCGGAGATGCACCTTATGGTCGTACCACGAAGGACGGATCGGCAAGAACCGTTCTCTCTGACCGCCGACGGACGCGACCGAGCATACGATAGTGTGCGGTGGCGTAGCGTGTCGTGTAGAGCACACGAAACTTCCACCCTCGCGCTCCCTCCTTCCGCGCCTCCCCGCCTACCCGGTCCCGTCCACCCCGCTGCCGCCGATTTGATGCATGGATACCAGTTTGCCACTCCACGTGCAATACTGCATATTGGCTGGTATTGGACGATCCATCACGCCACAAGACACCGGCACATCGCTCATCCACCCTTAACGCTCCAGATGCTGTTGCCAACTTCGACGAGGTGTGCGCGGCAGGGACGCGAGAGGGGAGCGCGATAGGGGGGAAAGGGAGTCGGGCGTAGCTCGCGGGAGCGTAACGCCTCCGCGTTTCGCGCGTTATCGGAAGTGGAACGCATCCATAATCCCGGAGGGGGTGCGAGGACGCCACGAACCGCATTCGTCTTGGGAAGACGAGACTTTAACGATCCGGATCGCCACTGACGCGCGGGGAGGCGATAGCCGGCATCTCTCATTGTTACCGGCACTCGATTCGGGCGAAGTGGTTTATGCACACACGTGCGAAAACGCGCGCACCGCGCTTACGCTGACACGGGGAGGTTGAAAGGATAAGCGAAGATTTATGTGTCAGCCGTTTAAGGCGAAAGTTGTCTACCACATATTGCATGTTTGATGTATTATACTTCTATTTAATGCAAGACCTGTGCGAGGGAGAGGGGAGGCGTGAATTTTTATCTCATCTAACGATGTATTCCATAGAGGGTGCTTCTCTTCTTCTTGTTGCAACCGTACCCGCGATATTGCGCGAGGTGAGAAGCCCGTCGCTCGAGGAGAGGCCGAATTTCCTTTGTCGATACGATAATCCTTTCCGCACGGACAATCGTACTTTGCAGCTACTGGTACACAGACGGAAAGCTTTCGACAATTCCTAGTCCTTTCCAAAGGCATGTATGTTTCACTCTCTGTCCTTCCCGGCGACTGCACGACGCAGCCCACGGCACGTCTCTTTTCACCGGCTGCTGTCTTTATTGCCGTGAAACTCTGACGGCGCGCTCACGGTATGCTGCTTTGAGGATTCGAGCTCCCGGATGAAAACGTGCCGGCGACCCCAAAAGTCCGGAGTGCATTCGTGCCAGTTGACCCGGCGGCGCCTTCCGCACACTCGGACCGTTCTAAAGTTTCCGAGAGATTCCCGGGCATTTCCTCGAAGCGGCCGTCATTTTCTCTCGATACACCCCCCTCTCGTCTCTACTTTTGCACACTTTATCACCGATATCATCGACGAACGGCGGTTATCCACCCCCCCTCCCCCAATTATCCCCGAGGAATGGTAGACGGCAATTTTGCACTCGAATTATACACGTCGTATCATTTCGTGAATCGCGCCATCGCTCTCCCTGTGGTTAATTTTCGATTTGGTCGCTTTGTCGACACTTTTGACACGATTGCTACTAATTGAGATGGTATCAATCGCGCGCGCGACGTACCTTTATCACGGGAAAGAGAGGGATATTTGGCGAGCAGTTACCAACGGTGATTCGCGGGGCGAAGATCGCGTGGGCACGTATTTGATAGGAAAAATGGGATTTCATGCGAGTCGTACGTATTTCAGCTACTTGGTTTCGCCCGGAAATAATTTACGGGTGCGGTCGAGCGTGAGTCTTTGCCCTGGCGTGGAATGAATAACGCGGCAAGCTCGCCGCGTGCGATTCGTTTCCACGTTTCTGCGAGAGGAGAGAGAGAGAGAGACTTTACAGATTGGTTACCGGGTTAGATTATTACGTTTGCAAATAACAACGGACTGCGGAATGTACCGGGCGGCGTTGCAAAGGGGAAAGAAAAAGTCGAGTAAAGTCAAACGACGCCTTATTACTATGCGATCGCGAACACACACAGTTGTGCTCGACACACGCTGCGTTCACTCGCGTCGAAATCGCGCCGAAGCATCGTAAGGACGCTTGTTGACGCGTGTCCGATTACAACGTTCACACGCCGCTCGAATACGGTATATTTCACGGGATTCGCGAGACGACCGGTCGTCTCCGGTTGAAGCGCGAAAGTTCGAGCGATTCGACGAGCGAAAGCCCGTGTCTCCCGGGTCGGGTTGTGGTCCAACGGACGAGAGAGCGATTACCGGAGCTCCGCTTTGGCAAACGTTAAATTTGCCCTCTCAATTAACACACGGTACACGCGCGCGACATCGTGTTATTTACGTCAATTTAATTAAGAGAAATCTCCCCACGTTCTCCGCCTCGTTCCGAACGCGGCGGAACATTCGCGGTTCCATTACGTTCTTCTCTCTCTCTTTCTCTCTCTCGAGGAGGAGGAGCAGGATTTACCAACGCATCCCCGGCGTGCTTCGATAATACACAGCGTACACACCCACACGCGGTCCCGCTCGCCGGGAACCCTTTGTGCCCGTACAATGACGATCGATATAATCGCGTTGCCCGTAAGTACGAACTTATATATCGTTGTCTCGGAGATTCTTCTTTGTCTCATCAGCCGGCGGCAGAGGAAAACCGGGCGCTGGTGGTATCACGCGATCTGCAGCGAGCTAAAATTGCGGCGGTGTTGATGTCGTCGAGGAGAGACTCTCCACTTATTCCCTCCCCGATCGCCTCGGCAACTCTGAAGCGTCATCTAATCAATTCAGTCGCCGTCGGTTTGCCGAAGCACCATCGAAACGCGATATATTCACCGAAGCGGTCCTCCTATCGCCGGCACACTCTTTAGGCTCTTCCGCGCTTAAATATTCATTCGCGGGCGCTAAGTAGCGCCGATTGAAAAGCTATCTCATAAATAAGATCGCGCGCCGGCGGCGGTTCATTTAAGATTTACTCGAGCGAGCGGCGACGCCTCTTACCGGCTCGTTCGCACCGGTTGTTAGCGTTTTACCGGTGTTGCCGGTTAAATCACGATCAGCGGACTAAGTCCGCTAGGCGTTACCAGGTGATTTATGAGTCGGCCGACAGTGGCGATGGACGACGCGTTTTGCGGCCCCGGCGTCCTGTGAGGGAATAATTATTATTAAATTACTTGACTCGGCGCGCGCGGTGGAATCTCGTTCCGCGGCGTTACTGACACGCATGAATGATTGCGCCGCTGCAAGCTCTAATTTAGACGCGCGATATAGCTTTGCGCCGCGCTACGCACGCGCCCACCCCTATGGCTCGCGCGCATTCGATTACGCGCCCGCGATACGCGCCGGCTATGATGTTTCATTTAGCCTTGTAACTAACCCTCATTGAGAGCTTGAATATTAGAATTTCTCGTTGTCCTCGATATTACTTTGCGCTTCGTCGTTGATGCCTCGTATTGCACGCGGCAAATCGGCGGTAAAGAGCAAAGAATTAATACGCCGAGGGAATTACGTTTCATTTCGCGGAATGTGCGCCGCAGATATACGAATTTATGCCAGACAGAATTTGCGAGAGAGAGAGAGAGAGAAGGAGAGAGAGAATTTATATATCGACTAATAGCTTCGATGAACGTGAAAAGATAACATGTTCATGTTGTAGTCGTGACATAAGAGAGGCTGATTGGAGGACCCGTCGACGCTTCACTCACGGAGCGGACGATTTATTTCACAGTCGGGCAACTCGACACTTTTAAACCAATTACCTGCGTACATAATGTCACGACACAAATGGCAATACGATGTCGTACTTTGTGTATCTGGTATACCAGGGGGAGAGGGAGAGGGGGCGCACGAAAGAAAATCAAAACGACTGCGAATGTGTACACGTTGCTTCGGGCTCGATCCACGATTGTTCCGGTTGTATTTTGCTATAAATTCAAGAGAGAGAAAGAGAGAGAGAGAGATATCGTAACCGAGCGCACTTCCACTTCAAAAGTGGGCATTTCCACATTCAAATGCATCACGTTTCCTTCCGGTCTTCATGACACAGGCAAAAGTTCTCCCCCGTTTTATTTGAGTTATTCGGGCACACAAGACAGTTTCATGAGCGAACTCTTCTTCTTCGGTCTAAGTGCATTCGAAGACACGAAGGGTAGTCATAGTATCCGCGTTATCGATTGGCGAGGAGGGATATTCTAGTCTCTTAAATGCGACGGGAATGCACTATTTTATGTATCTACGAATGTTCTTTCGACTCGCTCGTGACGAGGAATTCGTAGCGCACATTTGTCTCTCCCTTGTGACGTACAATTTCTCGTTTATCGAACCGGCGAACTTTGAGCCTTTACAGTACAGATATAAGCATTACGTGCGTGAGATTTTCCGCAAATCGAAAGAGAGAGAGAAAGAAGGAAGCAAATACCTTTCGTCGCACCTTTCACGCTC